CAAGTTCAGAAAGCTCAAGAAACCACATCTTTAAAAAATGTTGATAGCAAATTCACCAGCATCCAGCAGCCAAGGTTCACCATGATGACTGATCTCTGGGAAGACAGAGTCCTTCACTTTAACTGAAATTGTTCAGTGTGAAATATGTCAGTAGTCCTCCATCCAAAACAAAGATATGCTTTCAGCCCCTAGACAGTACCACCCATGAAGCAGGGCCAGCCATGAAGCTTTATTACGCAAAGTAAGCAACTTAACCATCAAGGAGCTCACACCCCTAGCCCTTGTTCTCAGCCCTTGTTCTCCYTGCCACAAAAGTTAACATGGGTCCATGCACAAGTCAAGGGGAAAATGACTCAAAATCACACAACTCTACCCTGACTCTATCACTAGTCCAGCCCTAGCACCAAAGGGTGGCTCTTTCTTCCTCTGGAGATGGCCTACATTACWTGCTTTAACTCCAGCACACTCTGGAAATCACCCTCATTCTCCATTGAATGTCTATCTGTTTTCCTGAATAAATCTCATGTCTCTGACAGGCACTTGCTGAAATTCTTTTCTCTCATATAAATAGGCCATATTTTTCTGAGATGAGGTCCCCGTCTCTGGGGACTCCTTTGGTGATAATATCATTATTATTTTTTAATTTCTTACATACATGACAATAGTGGAATGCATTACAATCATAATTATCCATTTTCAACACAATTTTTCTTAATTCTGTATATAAAGTATGTTCACGCCAAATTTTCTGCCATTATACATAAGCTCCCTTATTATTTTTTTGCATTTAAACTCTTTATTYTACAATTTATCATATCTCTGATTGTATATAAGCTATGTTGACACCAAATTCACATCTTCATACATGTATTTTGTATAATGATGAGGGTCTCCTTCCACCATCCATGCTATTCCCCTTCTCCCTCCCTTTCCTTCCCACCCCTATTCCCTATCTAGAGGTAATCTTTCTCCCTTGCTTTCCCTCCCAACCCCATTTTGTGTCAC